GGATTGCCCAACCTTCCTTCCGAGGAGTAGCTGGTGGGTTTGAACTGCCAGCCGTCTGGTTAGCAGGCAAGTGTCTTAGCCACTATGCTACCAGATAATAAAGATAGTCCATAAATTTTCAGTATTAAGTTGAAAATGGCAATGTCTATTTCTAGACCAAATTCACTCTGATCAGTGTTAAGAGGGAAAATCTCAGTGTTGCATAATAAAAACACATTATATTTAAACAACGCTTAGTGTTTACCTTCTGCTAACACAGACTCAATATCCTTTTAAAAGACAGCAGCAGAAGGTAAATCTTGGTTTTAATACCAAAGCCAACAGACAACATTCTATCTACAAGCATTCTTTTAACTGTCTTGATAAATTATATTACCTCACAGTAAATGGTTATTTAAATTATTCAAACAACTTCATCCTCAAGTTTTATACATCTATGAATATGTATGACATACACTGTGTGTGTGTGTATACACACACACACACACACACAAATGCCATAGATATTTCTACTAAAGCTTGAACCATTATTTTATTGAAAACCGGATTGTTAACTGATGGGGAAAAGAAGTTATCACTTAAAATTTGTATATAGCAATTCTGGGTAAACTATTGAGAGAATACACTGTTTTTGTATTTGTTCCTTCTATGAGGATATTTCAAAAACATGCAAAAGCAATTCTTTAGACACTGACAAGTCTCTGCAGTAACCCAAAGTCCCTGCCCAAAAGACAATGCAATGTACCTTGTAGACAAAGCACAGAGGGAGCCCGCTGCAACAACATATTTGGCAGGGCCCCATCCAACATACTCAAAAGCTACAGGAAGGGGGCTTTTTTCATCGAGGAGGTAGTATGGCATCATAAGTGTTAAAGCTGCAGAGACCCCAAAATAGGCCATAAAGCAAACAAGCAAAGAAGTCACAATTCCAATAGGTATAGCTTTCTGGGGATTCCGGACTTCTTCACCTAAGGAAATAAGCAAAACATGAATAGGTAAAGCATTTATTTTGTATCAAAGTCTTCCTCTTCTCCAATGTAGTAATCTACTCGCCTCCCCCTTCCTTTTTTTTTTTCTTATCATCTATTCTATCAAATGGCTAGATATTTCCTCTCTCCCTGAGGGAACTTTAAAGGAGTTCTGGTGGTGTAGTGCCTAAGGCATTCGACTGCTAACCAGAAGGTTGGCGGTTCAAATCCACCAGCCACTCCACAGCAGGAAGACTGGGCAATCTACTTCCATAAAGATTTACCACCTCAGAAACCCAAAGGGGGTCACTGTGAGTCAGAATCGACTTGATGGCAGTGAGTTTGTATTTTTTGGTTTTTGAGAGAACTTTGCTATTACATAAAAAATCCAATTCCCAGAGAGGAAGAAGTCATGCAAGGCAATTTCCTGTCTCCAGAAAGAAAAACCCTGGCACACCAGCACTTTTAAATGTTTATGGATAGAATAGCAGTCTTAATCTAACACTGGGAAAATGATTCATCCACAGATACTAGATTGGCATGGCACTCTGTTGGCACTTAAATATGAAGCTGTAATAAACTTCTATCTAGTGCATCTGTTTATATTAAACTCTAGTTTCAGTTTAAAAAAATAGTATATTTTGGATCCTTTTAATAAGATTTAGCATTTGAAGTATCCAAAACATGGTCAAGTACAAGCATGCAATGATATGAACCCAGAGAAAACACTTAGAGAGTGATTCTGACATAATTCCTTTATAATTATAAATTATATAAAGATAAATCACCTAGATTATATGAAGAGAAAAGAATTTAACACTGTAAATTTTGCCCTACTAAAGAAGAAATTATTTAGGTGCAGTATCATTATTTGTTACTCATTGTAACAGTACTTTCAGAGAAAACTAATGATAGAAATAACTACTAGTATTTGTAAGTACTTGACAGTTTATAGAGTATTTTTCATATGTATTATGAGCTCTGGTGATGCAGTGCCTAAGGCATTTGACCGCTAACCAGAAGGTTGATGGTTCAAACCCACCAGGTGCTCCGCAGAAGGAAGATGAGGCAATCTACTTCCATAAAGATTTACCACCTCAGAAACCTAATTGGGGTTACTCGTGAGTCAGACTCAACTCAATGGCAGTGAGTTTGGTTTGGTTTTTATATTATGTTAGATAATCCTCATAAGATCTGAGAGGTAGGACTGCTCTCCAGCTTTTACCAATAAGGAAACCATGGCTCAGAGTGTTTCACTTTCTTTTTATTACATACAGCAGGTATTCTGGTTAGGTTGGAAACTGCTTTTCTTACCCCAGATCCCATTCCCTTTCCTCAACCCTCTGCTGTGACCTCGGGAACTCATGTGGTAAAGGAACACCTTGTCCTGACACACAGAGCCAAGAATCTGCTCTTACCAGTTGTTGCAATGCAATCAAATCCCACAAAGGCATAAAAGCAGGTTGCAGCACCAGCCAAAGTTCCCGCAAAGCCATAAGGCATAAAGCCACCAGCCCCATAGATACTTGTTCCATTTTCAGAAGGTGGCTCACTAAGAAGGAAACAAACACATCAGAAAGTTATTTTCACAGATAACTGCTTCTCCCAGCAATATATTTCAAAGTACTTCCTTGGAAGGTTGTTGTATTCATTAGCTCTTCGAAGCAAACATGTACAAGACCCAAACTTCTGTAATTTTAAGCCATCTTCTTGGTGATAAATTACATGGCAGCCCTAGAAAATCAGAACATTACCTATATATTTATATTTGGGAGGGAGCCTGGATAGAATAGTCTTTGAAAAGTCTTAAAGCAAAAATTGTAAGGACAATTGCTCTAGAGGAAAACTTTCACATTATGTGCCCTTAGAATTTAACATAAAACAATTTTAAAAAAAATCAAAAAAGGAGGTAACTTTTACCTGGCACTTGCTGATATATTTTTGAGAAACTCTTCACTGATCTTCCAGTTTGCCACATTTCCTTTCACAAACCCAGCAACCATAACAAAAAGAAGGACCAGGATATTAACAGCTGTGAAGATTTTATTCACCCAAGCAGACTCTTTTACTCCAAAAGATAAAAGACCTATGGAAAAAGAAAGGGAATTCTGATTTTTACCTAAGCTTTAGAAACCAAACCCAAACCTGTTGCCATCGAGTTGATTCTGACTCATGATGCCCTATAGAACAGAGTAGAACTGCCCCACAGGGTTTTCAAGGCTGCAGTAATCTTTACAGAAGCAGACAGCCACATCTTTCCCCCAAAGAGTGGCTGGTGGCTTCAAACTTGCCAACTCCTTAGTTCACAGTTAAGTGAACTAAGTGCTTAACCACTGCACGACCAGGGCTCCTCAGCTTTAGGAAAGGCAATAGCATTTTGAAGCTATTATAGGCTTCGGGATATTATTTCACCAGCATTCATATATTTAATTTCCATTATCCATTTCTATTGTGGGTTCTTACTTAATAGTTATCTCATTGTGAAACAAAGTCTTCTGACTACACCATTTTGATTTCAGGAGATAGACCATGCTCAAAGTCCAGAGACCCTACACCCTTTAATATATAAATCTAGTAGCTTTGGCTATTGTTACCAAAAGGTAAGTAGAGGCAAAGTAATACCTAATGAAATGCAGTTGTAAAAAGCCATTTCAAAGTGAATGGTTGAGAAATTTTTTTAAAGTAAAAAATCCTTGTCTGCCCTGTATTTATTGAACATAAATAGAAAATAATTCTTCAAGTGTCCTGTCAATAAG